AAAAATAATAATAATAAGAAGAATAATAATAAGAAGAATAGTAATAAGAAGAATAGTAATAAGAAAAATAGTAATAAGATGAATAATAATACGAAGAATAATAATAAGAAGAATAATAATAAGAAGAATAAATTTCCTAACTAATACAGAAGAGATTAAGGATTATATTTAATATTTTGGAGGATATAGTAATTAAGGGATAGCTAATACTAATTAATTAGAATAAGGAATAAAAGTAAGGATATAAAATAGTTAGGATTAAAGTAAATAATATAATAAGTAATAGATTAGAAAGAAAGCTTAATAAAAAGGTTTGAATTTTATATTCTAGTTTCTAAAGAAGCGCTACTAATTAATTACCTAATAACAAAAAGAATAGTAATAGAAATAATAGAAATAATAAGATAAATAAGGTAAATAATATAGTAATAAGAATTAAATTTGGTTAATAATATACTAATAGGCTTTCTTCCCTATACCTTTAAATAGTAACTCGTAAGCCGCTAGCCTAATATAAGGGAATTACCTTCCTACGCTCTCCGGGGTTCGGAATTCCTTAAAGTATAATATAGAGATTAGGATGCGCCTTCCGTTAAGAAACTACTATTATTTGGGAAAAGATCGTACGAGGAAAAACCTAGTAGCGTAGTATATATAAAAATAAAAGTTAAAAGTTTATTTTAGAAATATAAATATTAACTAAAATAATAAGATAAATTAGGATATTTAGAAGCTTATTTAGTAGGATCTTTAATTTTCTCAATTCTTACCCTACTTATCGATAGACCCGGGTTTGGGATAGCCGGTCTTTAATTAAATTAAATATTATATTCCTAGCTTTATTCGTTAATTAAGCTGGGATTGAAATCCCTAAAATAATTATTTATTTTAATTAATAATAGTCTTTTTTCCGCCCCTACGTTCCTTTCGTTGGATTAGTATAACTATTAACTATATTCTAAATTAATAGGCTAACTATTAATACTTATAGGGTATTCTCTAATATTAAATAGCTCTTTTTAAATTATTAATTAAATAAAGTTTAACTAGGGTTAAAGGAGAGTATATATATAGTATTAATTCCCTAGTAGATTGTAGGGTAATTATACGCTATATTACTAAATAAATTGAGATTAAGGTTTCCTTTGTAAATTATCATTTATTTTCCCCATCGGACTAATATAATTATTTTTTACACTCTAAATCGATAGGCCGGAAGCTTATTTTATTTATTAAGTTTAATATTTCCCGCAATATAATTTAATTACAGTTATTCCCACTTTTAATTAATAAAAATATTTTTAGTAAATACTTTTATAATAGTTAGTTTTTAATAAATCTTAGAATTTTACTTCTATTTATTAGATATTTATACCCTCGAATATCCCTATATTATAATTAAGAATAAGGTAGAATAATCCGTCTCCAAATAATCCGTCCCCAAATAATCCGTCCCTAAATAATCCGTCCCCAAAATCCGTCCCTAAAATTTCCTATTTAGGCTAGCTAATAAATTAAATTAAAGTATTATTGTATAGATTAAACCTACCGCTGCTAAATTAGTAAATTATTTAATAGGGATATTCTTACTACCCGAAAGTGGAAGAGGAAATTGCGGTATTATTATATTATTATTTATTTATAGTCTAAATTAGTTTTCTTATCGAGCTTAATATTTTCCCCTTACGCCTAGTATTTACAAAAGTACTAAGTAGAGGGTTTCAATAATTTATGTATTGCTATACCTAAGATTTAGAATTGAAGATAATATCCCGCTTGGAGGTGCTAAGGTAAAGTCCTAGCAGTTTCCTAGTAGAAAAAGAGCTTAAGGGAGGAAATTAGATTTATTAGTATATAAGCCTATTAATATAGATTACAACCTCTATACGGGAGCTGTACGGAAGCTATTTAATATGAGTTAATTTTATTATTATTTAAATTTATTCCTAGCCCTACGAAAGAGTACCTAGGAATATCTAAGTAGCTTTCCTATAGAGATTTTAATTTATTTAAATAATTAAATCCGTCGGCGACCCCTTGGGCGGTCCCTTTTAGCCGGATTTATAGTACGTACCTTTTTGAGCGACCCGTTTGAGCGACCCCTTGTACGGCCCCTTATACGGCCCCTTGGGCGGCCTTATAGTACTTTCCCCTTTAAGAGCACCCTTTTAAATAATCCTCTTCTAAATGGTCCTTTTGTGCGGCCCTTTAAGCAGCCCTTTAAGCAGCTTTATAGTATTTCACCCTCTAGATAACCCTTTTGAGCTGTCCCTTTAGGCGGCCTTATAGTATTTTACCCTTTAAATAACCCCTTTAAACAGTCTCCTTAGGCAGTCCTTTATATAGCCTTTTAGGCGGCCTTATAATATTTTCCCCTTTGAAAGACCCTTCTAAGCGACCTTATATATAATTAGTCGTTTTTACCTACTTTAGCCAATCGTTTCTACCTTAACCGGTCGCTCTTACCCTCCCTTCTTATATATTTTGCGACCGCTAATTTAAGGAAAGTACGGCCCGATTATTTAAATCGCGACTTCGAATTTCTATAAAATTCATTTGTATAGGAAATTTTAAAAATTGATTTACGATTACTAAATTCAACTCTCCCGTCGTACCTTTATATTAATTTAGTTAGATTTCGACAATTCTAGGGGTAGGATAATCGATTCGAATACTAGGTAAGTAAATTAATTTAGGGTAGGCAAATTACTTTTACCCGTACGAAATTAGCGGCCGCAATTAATATATAAATAAAGTAATAAAATAATTAACTTAATAAGGATAATAAAGTAATTAATTCGAATAAAGTAATCGGTTCGAATAGGGTAATAAAGTAATCGATTCGAATAACGGGTAGGTAAGCCCCGTTTCCTTATACGAAGTTAATAGTTGCGGTTAAAATATAAATAGAGTAATAAAATAGTTAATTCGAATAAAATAATCAGTTTAAATAAGGTAATAAAGTAATTAGTTCGAATAAAGTAGTCGGTTCGAGTAGGGTAATAAGGTAATCGATTCGAGTATTAGGTAGGCAAGCCCCCCTCCCTAGTACGAAGTTGGCAGCTGCGGTTAATATATAAATAAAGGAATAATAAAATGAAATAATAAGTTTAAATAATATAATAAAGTTATTAATTTAAATAAAGTAATTAGTTTAAATAGAGTAATAAGGTAATCGATTCGAATGCCGGGTAGGCAAACTAACTACCTTCGTACGAAGTTAATAATTATAATTAATAAAGAAATAAAATAATGAAATAATTAATTTAAATAAGGTAATTAATTTAAAGAAGGTAATAATATAGTTAATTCGAATACTAAATAAATAACTCTATTACTTTTAAATTAAATTAATAGCCACGGTTAATATATAAATCGAATACTAAAATAATTAGTTCGATTAAGGTAATTAAAATAAGTAATTCGATATTAAATAATTAATAATTATGAATAACGGTTAAATAAAAGTGGAAATAATTTATATATAAGCCTTTAAGACTAGTATATATTTTAAATAGGCTAAATATACTAGAATTAATATATTGTACGGTTCAATAAATTATTTAGGACTAATTATATAAAACTATGGTTAAAATAATAATTATACGAAATTTCAAAAATTATTTTAAAAATATTAGAACCCTGTTATAAGTAGGACTTGAGGTTTATAATATAGCGGCCATACGCTTATATACTAATACTAATATATAGAAAGGTTGTACGCATTTTAGAATTATATAGAATTTTTAGTATAAATACCTAATTTTCGTACTTATAATAAAATGGAAATAGAATTTGTAGCTTAGGTAGGAAGACAAAATAAAAATTATATTTACGTTATGTAACTACTTATAAACCTATATATAAGTTTTGGTCATGTTTGGACTATTGGTTGTTGTATAATTAAATGCTACAGAAAATCCCTATAGAAAGTACCCGATTTTTGCTGTCCGGTTGGGTTTTGGACTATCCGGTAGTTTTAGCACCAACTCTGTAGAGCAGAATTGGGGAACAGACAGGAACTGTCAGCCTCACCAACGGGTAATCGCATGCATAGACATGAAGCTGGATGAACACGACCATTTCTTGCATGGAAATGGGGCTCTTCAAGTTGTTAGTGTAGCCCACCAGCGCACTACCATACGGCCATCCTTCCCTCATCCATCCCGTACTTTCCATCCAGCCATTCATTGCAATTCGTAGCCTCAGCATGCCAAGCTGCCTATCACCTCCAATTCTAGCATTCCGGCACCTAGCACTAGAGGTACCGCTTTTACCCAGTCGTAAGAGATTTACTGAACCTGGCAGTTTTGGTGAGAAAGAAGCATATGCACGGCGGGATTAGCTGCATATGAGGAATCAGTCCAATGGGATTCCCTCATCTTCCTAGCTAGCGCCTTTGGTAAATCTCTTACGACTGAGTAAAAGCGGTAGGATGGATGGTCCTCCGTCTGCGGCCCGGGACCACCCTGCATGCAGCTCCCGCCAGCTGCATGAGCTCAACGAACGGTGATTGACAGTGAGTGACACTCCCCCGTGGCCGTGGAGCAATTCCACTGTGTCGCTTCGGGCCTTCCATGCGTCCGCTGTGGTGGCTTGGCGAGTGTTCTTTGCATCTCGCTCCAAGTCTTCAGGTTGCTGTTACTGTACGGTACTGTACCAAGATACAACAGTGTAACTGTTCACCATCAGTCACTTTTCACATTTCGATCATCTTTGCCTTACAGTACTGATTTTTTGGCCCGACTGAGGTGATACCTTCCGATTGGCAACCTTGTCATGACCTGCAGTGAGAGGACGGGAATGACTGCATTCATTTGCGCGGTTGTTACGCATCATCTCCGTCTTTGCGGTTGACGGGACCCACTGAATGGGGCCGTATGGGATGGGTATGGAGTCACTGTAGACGAACCCATGGGGTAAGGTACCTTGCTGTACGCCTTATGGCTGTGCTTGGACGAGAGGAGAGAAATGAGGTTGATGCCCTGGGTATGGATTCACAGAATAACAAATCCTTTTCGTAATGGTTAACGTTGTTCTTCGGTATATCATAACGCAACGAGTCCGCCTTGCTCCAAAGCCCATAAACGCCTATCCAACGGCAAAACCCAGCCAGCCAGCTAACAGAAGCTAAGCACCTTTGGGCCTGCAGTATGAGTTGCTGAAAGATATATAACCACCCTCTTTCGAATCTATTCCATTATACTCGTCACTAAACATGATCCATCACCGCTCCAAACTCATACTCTTATATCATGGTATCACTTGCGAAAAACAGCCGAGACAGATCCCTAAACCGTCTTGGTCACTCCGCTTCCTTCAGCATTCCCATTCCCATTCCCACTCCCACTCGCGTGCTCCGTGTGCCCGTGCCCGCCGCTGTTCATACCGGGAACCCAATTCCTCCACGTGCTCGGATCCTCCACCATGTCGAACGCCCTCTCCTTCTTGCTCTTGTACCTCGGCGCATCATCATCCAACGAATCCAGGTCTCCCAGGCGACTCTCGTCGTCCGAGCTAAAACTGCTCGAGCTCGGGCTGCGGTTCAGCACCATCCGGACCTTGGGACCCTCCTTCTTCTTGATCTCCAGCTGCTCCTTCTTGGCCTTCTGGTGCTCCTCGTCGCCGCAGTCCAAGGCCCGAATGTGCAGACCCGGGAACTGCCGCTGGAGGAACGCCTGCAGGTCGGGCAGGACGCACTTGTCTGGCCGGTAGGTGCCGCTGTCGTTGTCGATGATGAGCTCATAGTCTTCCGGGTCTCGAGAGGACTCGGATGCGCCTGGGTGGTCGTGCGTCTCGTGACTGAGACCGTTGTCGCAGTTGTTGTTGTGATGGGGCTTGTGGTGCTTGGCGATACGTCTGATGAAAAACTCGCCCGAACAAGCGATATACGTCGCCACGTCTGAGTGCATGGTGTGCTTGCTCAGTAGATCAATACCGAACTCCTTGCCAGTTTCGGTGAAGCGCAGCAAGCCGTCCAAGGTGAGCACGTAGGTGAAGATGCGACCTCCTTCCGCATAGTGCGCCATCTTGAGAAACTGCACGGATGCTTCCTTGCTGCATTCTGCGAATATGCCGTGTTCGGTACTGGAGTCGTAATTGTAGATCCGCCTGTGTTGCTTGTGAAGAACTTTGTTCAGGACGTGGCCCCTGAAACCTTTTTGCGAAAACATCTTGCCGATGATGGGGCGGAACTCAACGAATCGGTGGTATAGTTTCGGGGGAACTGGCCCAGCAAGTTGGATTTCGTTGGCTTGGAAGCTGCTCTCTGTCTGTCAGTAACTGCTTCATGCTATGCCATCTTGGGTTTGAAGAACGCACTCGTATTTCTGTGGCATCTTGCTGTTGTCATCGCTCTCATCACCGGCCGTCACACCGGTCAGCCGCCCAATCATGGGACTGAAGTGCTTGACCCAATAGGTAGGACCCAGAGTGCACATCTGAGCATGAGGGGGGTCCGAGACGCCGAGGACATTAACGCTGATGTGTATCTGAGGTGTTGTCCATTTCAGTCCATGCATGAAGGCCTCGATGCCCTTGTGGAAATATGCCCGTTTGCTGCCCGAACGCTTCCTGACTTCGAAGAACTTGCCATCCAGTCCGAATCCCGGCCAGTCCTCGTCTAGGTGATCTACCCTGATGGTAACATTGCCCAGTCGGTCATCATGGTCTGGCCAGTCCTCGTCGTATAGGCGGCACTTGAGTTCGAATCCTGTAGCTGGCACATTGGCAACAATCCAGTCTTCCTCCCATACCGGCTCGAGACTCCGATGTATAGTCCGCGTCCTTCGTGTGAGAGGAGGGTCTTCCGGGTGTCGCTTCGGGACATCAGCAGTCAGCGTGGCATGTATGTATGGATCGGCGGATACTGTCTGAATATCGGCCACTGGGAGGTTGATGGCCTTGTGGAAGGTGATTTTGATGGTATATCCGGGAGGAGCGTCGGGGAGTGGAGTTGGGTCGAATCCACCTGGTGGGTTATCGTCATGTTCTTGAGGTTCGTTTTGACTTTTCTCGTATGAGCCGTTCTCAGGAGGATCATCATACGTGGGTTGCTCAAGATAGTGCTCTGCGGCAGATGGGGGAGCCATGTTTGCTGCGCGGGAAGATCACCGAGTCCAATCAGCCTGCTCCAGTCGTCGTAGGGATGAGTGTTCTGTTGTGCTCGTTTGGTTGGCCAATCCCATGTTACTTTTTCCACCACCGCGATCCAAGTCCAAGTCTTTTTCGAATTGCACTTCCGAGCTGGTTGTTTGGTGGAAAGGTAAACGACGAGTTGGAAGTCGAGGGAGTTGTAGGACAGTTACCGGGTCCGGGGATGATGGGGTATATAAGGTAGATATCAGACCGGATATGAAAAAGAAGACTTGAACGGATGGAGACGAAAGGGATCAGCAGGGCAGATATCTGCACAGTTTTTCAGGCGCGGCTGTACGTCGGGTCCCTGTACGGGTCGCTGTCAGGGTCGCTTTCTCAGATTGGATGACAGCCACATGGAATGCCGTCCCCCCATAACAGCTCTTCCTTGTCCCCCTCCTTGCCCACCCCGCTGCGCCTGCCGTTCGTCACAGCCCAGCCGGGCAGTGAGAGCTCAGCTCCCTCCCGTGACATCTCTTAACATCCAAGGAAGGAAGCTCGGGAAGCTACAATGAGCACGCAACCCGCCTTTATTTCCGTTCCCTTTTTTCTTGTCGTTTCCTTGAATTCCATCGGCACTTCGGCCGGCTCAACCATCCCAAATGACTCAAACCACTTTTGTGCAAATGACCCCAACGCTCTCAAGAGTGACGAGTTTCTCCAAGAATTCGGTGACGTCACATGTCCTCTTTGCACACCCAAGCTTTTAAGGGTTCACGGGTGCTCGGCATCGCGACAGCTAAACAGCAGCATTGAACATGGGATCCTTCCGTCATTTAATCCAATTCGTTTCCAAGCTCTGCCAAGTTTGCCAAGCAAAACTTTTCCACAATCCACAACGTCTTCGGCTCTGTGGGGCCGTCTTGGCTCGGCGTGGTGTTCCGCCCTGTTGCTGTTGACAAACCCGTTTTGTTGGCGATCAAATCAACGCTCTTCCTTTTCTTTCTTTCAGTCTTTCACATGTTTCGCCCAGCGTTTACGATCGTCCATGGCGCATCGGCCAGTCCGTTGCATCCTTGTTCAAGTTGTTGACAGAGAGAGGTCAGATGCGGACGACGCTCCGGTCACGCCTTCGTCTCGCGTCACGCCCTATCTAGTGTAGGCTCGCTAGGCTGTCTTACACTTGCACTGCCTCTTATGGAATCAGTCAGCCACACTTTGTCGATGACGGCACTCCGGCTAGTAAAGGGATGGAATTTCACGGGAAGGGTAAGGAACGGAAAAGTAAGGAAAGGTAACTGAAGGGAAAAGATATGATGATTTCCGCCAAGCTTTCCGCACATAAGGGTATAAGTGCTCAGAGATATACAGACATCGGCCAAACAGGTCCAGGTTTTTTAGCTTCTTGGTTCAAACGATTTCAAAGATTCGTATCCCAAATAACTCGTTAAACATCATTACACCTCTTTATCTTGGGTAGCCAATAAGGTCGATGAAGTTAATACCACTTCGAGTGAGGGCAGTTTGGTGGTGACGTGCACGGGCCGTATTTTTCGTTTTGGAATTTCGATATTTGCTGAATTTCGATAATTTCGGGAATTTTGTTATTTTTTTCAGAAAATAACGATCACTAACTCCGGCAGATGGAATTCAGTAACGAAACGACCTCTCAGCTCTTATCTTTTCAACCTTATGGTATTCCCGGCTCCAGAAAACGCAGGGTTGTAAAATCTGTCAGTCACTTTTGGCCACCATCAGAGAGAGCAAAACGTTCGTGGTTGCCGGACATTTTTATAAAACCCTGCATCCTGAATTCTGGTCTCGCGAGTCTATACTACGGTATCTGAACCACTGCTACACACAAGAACAATAAGTAGTCGTCATGAGATAGAGGAACAACTTAAGGTAAGTATGTTCATAAGTTGGGTATATTATCGTCATAAATCGTGAGCTCATTCCCGCTGATTCTCCTCTCCTCTTATATCCACGCTATCAATGCTATGGCAGACCCTCCTCCTTCTTGTTCTCCTGTCCGCCGCTACTATTATTCCCAGGGGCATGGGTATCCTTCCCCCTGCCTGCGGCTCCTTCTCCTAAGTGGTCAGATGTCACGACCCTATACCCAAAGCTTCCTAACCCTATGGTCCGTGTATTTACATATAAAATTAGTCCGACCTATAAAAGAAAAAGATTAATACAATTATTGCAATACGTATTCGTACGGAGTTAATTCAATATATTAAATTAATAATAGTTCGAATAAAGTCTGATAATATATTTATAATATATTCAGAATATATTTAAGTTGTAGACGAGGAAGTTAGGCTTTGTAGGTTCATCCGGGTCGTATATACAAAAGTCCCCCCGTAGAGAAATAATCCTATTCGCTCGCTTAAAGTTCCCCCGTAGAGAAATAATTTTACTTATTCGCACAAAGTTCCCCTGTAGAAAAATATAAAGCCCGATAATATATTTATAATATATTTAGGATATATTTTAAATTATAAACGAAGAAGAAGTAAATTCTATAGGTTTATCCGGATAGCGGCGGAATTCGTACTAAATAACGTAATTCCGGCCTTTACTACCCTATTTAGGACAGTAAGGAGGAAGACTTATAATAAATTAATAATTAGTAAAGAATTTATTAAAGATATATTTAAAGTGAAATTTATAAATATATTTAAACTCTTTATATACTATACAAATAAATTTAGCGGAAGAAGCGATATTATCGCGCTTTTTATACATTTTTTTTATTAATTAGGTACTAATTTAAATATTAATTAAATTAGCTAAAGATAACTAAAGGATATATTAGGGATAGATTAATAATTTATTAAAAATAGATCCAAGATACTTATATTACCGTTCTTCCAAAAGGGGACTTCTATAAGACCGTCTTCCTCCGCATCTACCTCCTTCTCATTCCCTTTCTCCTATACCTCCTATTACTCCTTTTTTTATACCTCTTACTACTCCTCCTCCTATACTTCCTATTATTCCTCCTCTTATATTTCCTATTATTCCTCCTCTTATACCTCCTCCTACTCTTCCTCCTATACTTCCTATTATTCTTCTTCTTATACCTCTTACTATTCCTCCTCATATACCTCTTATTACTCTTCCTCCTCAATTAATAATAAATCTAATAGGTTTAATTCCTCGTCGATAATGCTACCTTACGTTTCTTAGAAATAACTGGCTATAAAGTCCTACTAAGGATAAGGACAGTTATAATTTAACCGGAAGTTATAAAAGTTATAAAATCTTTATACTATTTTAAATTTATTAGAGCGATAGCTTAGTTGAGAAGATCTAGGCTTGGTTTCCTTCGGTTTCATCCGAAAGGTCGTGGGTTCGAATCCTGCTCCCCTCTCTTCCATCCGGTCTTGGTTTTTCGGGTTCTCCTAAGACCGGCCTCGGAATTTCTCCCCCACCCAAAGCACGTGGCTAAATTTGTAGGGCTCTCCCTAGTCTAAAACCCTAGGATAAAGCGACTTGGCGCTTGAAAATCTCTTCCTCGTTGGGGCCCCGCTACTCCTCCACCGCGAAGGTAGATTTTGGGTCGAATTCTCTACTCCTCGAAAAGTAATTACCCCGTCCAGTAATACGATAGCTATCCGCCCAATTAGCATACAATTCCTTAAGGAAGTAAGGTAATGCTTGCCCTCGCTTCGAATTTAGGGCCCCTGGGCCGAAAGAAGACTTTAAGAATGCTGATCGAAATCCGTAAGTCCCCTCTTCCTTCCCCTTGAAATATTACCCTGAATAAAAAGATAAACGGTCCCCGGGGCGGTAAAGAAAGGGTAGGGGTGGAAGGGCTGGCTATAGGAGGATGACGAAGGGAAGGCTTGGAATGAACGAAGATATTAGATATAAAGACGCGGGAGGTTTTTATCTGGTATTTGTAGTGAATATACGGTTTTTCCGCTCGGCTTTGAACGACGAAGGACCGTATGCCTAAAATAAGGGGACTAGATTAGAATAGTCAAAGCGTGAATAAGATTATTATTATTATTTTAAATTTATCTGTAATTAATTTTAAATTATTTAAAAATCAATTAGGGATAGGTTATATACTAATAGTAACTATATAAACTTTAACCTTAATACCTCCGATTAAAACGTTAAATAAATACTCCTTAGGAATATCGTAAATACCCTTTAAATATTTAATAAAATTACTATAAATAGTAAATATAATTTAAATAAATTAAAAATTAATTATTAATTTAAGATTAATCACTTTCAAATATTATTTACATTGATACTTTATCAAATATCCGCGCTATTACAATTTTAAACTCTTTCTAACAATCAAAAATCTTATTAGGGGCGATTATATATATACCTTATAAAATAATTAGCGGGGATAAATTAGGGATAAATTAGGAATAAATTAACGATTGGTTTCAATATTTATATATTTATCAATTTCTAAAGGGGGCACTACGGCCTAACGGTTACCCTTATCTTTGGGTTTAGCAGGTTTCTAATCGTTATTTAAATATTCCTTATATACGTTAAAGGGCATAAATTTACAATAAACGGGCACTATTATAAAAGATAAATTTTTAATAAATTTTTAATTAATTTGGATGAATTTCGGAAGAGTAGCGGGGGGTAGACGGGGGTAAATTAATAAATATTTAAATAGTCGAAAAAGAATTAAAGTAAAGAAATTTTAAAAAGAAAAGATTTTAATTAACGTAACGATTATTCCTCTTATTAAATTAATAAATACGAATACGCAATTGCGCTTTCTACATTGTATTATACGTATCTGCTAAGAGGGGTAAAATATCGGATAAAATTTATAGTATAGATTAATTTTAGATAAGACTGGGATAAATCTAATTTTATTCGTTCAACTACTTACACCGACTTTAATTTTTTGAAATAATATTACCTAAACTTTATATAAACCCGGTTAGCAATCGTATTATAAAATTTAATACTATAATATAATTAATATTTATATAGGTTACATTTTTAAGAGACTACTAATTCGAATTATATATTATTTTTTTTATATTTAAATTTTTTTTTTTAAAATATATCATAAATCTAAATATATTAAAATACTATATATTAAAATAGTAAATAGTAAAATATTTACCGGTAAATGTTTATTTATAAAGAAAATTCTAATATATAAACTTTAAATTTAATATAATTCCTTATATGAAAATATTAAATACCTAACTTCTATTTATATATACGAAATAAGAAAAATATTTAATATAAAATACTTATTATCAACGTATAACAATTAACCGATAGGTAGGAATATGAGATCCAATTATTATTTTATAATATACGAATAGATATAAATAAAGTTTAGTATTAAATTTAAATATTAAACAAATTTATTAATAAATTAGCTAAACTATAATATAATAAGGATGGGATCTAACTATTATTTATAAAAATAGGACGAAGCGCTAATAAATTCTTCTTTTATATCCTAATTTTAACTTTAAAGCTAAATAAAGACGAATAATTACGTAGTACAGAATTCTATAAACAAAATTAAATATAATTTAATGAAAAAGGTATTTATTTAGTATTACAATTAAATACCGATAATTATTCGAACCCCATTACTAAATTATTTATCCTTTATCGGATAAATTCTTAACTTAATTCTAATCGTAGAAAGTCTCATATATTCTCGCCCACTACGTCCGTTACCTTCTTTATAATACCTAAAAATTCACTATACTTATTTTCAACTATCTTTTAAATATTTACTAACCTCTTATCAAATTCGTAAAAACCCTTTCAAATAATTACTCTTAAATCTTTAATTATATTTATAATTCCGTCGTCCCGCCGTTTTTTCAATGTAATTCTATCCCGGACGGTTTTATTCAATATTCTCCATACTTATTAAAGCATATGAATCAAAAGGTTTTCAAAAGCCTATATTTACGCTAATATATTAATATAATTAGTAATTACTTATATTACGAATTATATAATAATATAATAAATATTACAATTAACTAATTTAAATTCCGATATTAAGTTATTAAACTAAACTAAATTATTATTTATAAATTCGCCGTTTAAACCTATTATAATTATAATTAATATATATCCGACGGATAAAGGGTAATTATATATCGGAATTAATATATATTATTAGACTATAGAAATTACCCCTTATATAATTCCATTAAGCGGTCTAATTTAAAATATACCCTCTTATTATCGTTATTTTTATTATCCGATCCCTATTATAATTCTAATTTCTTTAAACCGCTTTTTTCGACGTTAATTAAGAATCTCTTCATTAAATCTAATAAATTTTAATATAATAATTAATTCCCTAATTAACGGTAATTGTATAGGAAATTTTTTTTAGAATGGTTAGACGACGATATGGTCATAACGAATA